ATCAGGTTTTCATAACGGCGTTACATTTATGTAAATCAAAATGTAATATTTTTGAGAAAAAAAAAGTAGTTCACGAGAACCGCCTTAAAAATCTAATTACGGTTTACTAGTCTGTTTACTTGTATTCCGTATGGGACTAGTCGGGATTTTCTTTTTCGTAATGCTATTACAGCAAAATCGATCAAATTTTATTCTGAGAATATGTCAAAAGTTTAGTCTTTCTCCACAAGAAAGGATGTGGTTGATAATTTACAAAGCATTTGATAGCATGGTTTTAGAGCTAGATATGAAGGTTCACGATCAGGTTCAACGTAAGACAGAAAAAACTACAACTGACATAATTTTTCAAATAACAAAATATATGTCCTTCGACTTTCGCGTTCGTTTTACAACGTGGAAAAAATGTTTATTTCTGACTTTGAAACAAATACTGAATATAACTTATACAGCCCATATGCTCATCAGTGAAGTTAAAAGAAAGGCAAATGTTTGGCTTCCCAAACGATATATTTACGTCATTATTTTTACATAAAGCATTAGTTAAATCTTGCACAAAAATAAAATAATGATGAGTATTTAACACTAACACTATCTCAATTCAGCTTTCTTACTTTTATTTCTATTCACGTAATTAGTCAAAGGTTTTAGATATATGTCAAGGTATAAACATTTAGGGTTGCTATCAAATCACGCACCCGAACATCATCTTTTTGTGACTGTAGATTTCTTTCATTTACGATAAGTGTTCGATGAAATCGATAGGATTTTCTTGTCTAACGAAATAATGATAAGTCTCCATGTGATCTGATGAGGTCATGCATTCAACTGATATTCTCCATTTAAGCTCGTATGTTGTTCATAGGTACAATTCATAGCATGGATAAAAATTCCAACAGGATTCATGCAATTAAGCTTTTCTTGTTTAATTATGTTCATATACTGAATATGTTTGTCAGTATATATTCTCTATTCATCCAAACTCACACTCACATCCACACCCGGCAGTTCTCAACATACAAAAACTAAATAAGAGTCTTTCTCTATAATCTTTAGATGATTTTATTGTTCAATACATTCATCAGCAAGAGCAGTGTAGGTTGCATATCAGATATTCTATGTTTAAGTATTGTTTTAGTCGTCTCCTGTGTAGATAAAGAAATAAATTTAGAACAATGCGGTATGTTAATTTTCATTTGATACATGGTTGTTTAGTGAGATATACATATCTATTCTGTTGCTAGAACTGCAAAAAGTTTTTTATAAGTATGGAAAAAAATTCCCTACATTCTGACTCGTCGTTCTCTAAATCATCACGACACTAAGTATGGAACTCTACTAATAAGTCAAACAGTACATTTTAATATGTTGTTGTTGGATATTAATCTACTATTCTGTTTTTTAAAATCCACTAATGTAATTTATGTTACGTGTTAAAATCTAAAATCTAAAAATTTACTAGAGTATAAACCAATGATGGAAAAATGTAAACAATAACAATCAAAATCATATTTATAGTTGTACAAGAAAACAAAAGTAGCGATGCGAACAACATTTTAATTCTTTCAAAATGACTTCATCAACAATTATGATTTAATGTTCTATATTGTTCACAATCATCAAATTACTTGAAACGTCCACATTGTTTATTTTTATCAAGCATGTCTTTAATGAACTATCATATTTAATGAAGATTGATCGAAGAATTTCTATTATAAAAAGTTTGTTTTTGTTTAATTTTCTTCTCTATTTAATGATGTTATTAAATTTTCTATGTTTTCTAATATTCATTCTTCTAATTCTATTTTCAGTCTCTTGTGATTTGATATCATTATTAATACAATTAAGTGAACCTATCTTTCATCTTTTTTTTTCCCTTAGAAACAATGATTTGACACATATTGCTTAGCTGTTATTGTTTTAATTCTATAAAAAAAAAAAAAAAAAAAGATTGCACAGATGTACTGCGAAGAAAAAAAACTACATAAAACAAATCATATTCGTTCATCGAAGCATATTAAGACAACTTTTACTTAAATTGAACGACTTGAGAGCTTTTTTGTCTAATTAAAATCAACCACATGGAAGAATTCAAACAAAAAAAAAAAAAGACATCATTGAAAAAATGACCTACGAAATAATTAATGAACTTGTTGTTAAAATTAAATGTTCAACATTCTGAACAATCTATTGAATATTTTAATATACATAAGAGTTTGTTTTTTGGTGAATAGGACAATTGATTTTATTATATTTCTGAGTAATGAAAAACTGACTATGCACTCTTTCACTATGTGAGTCATAGAGTCTTTCGAAGAATTGAAACTAAAATTGAACAATTAGTTAGCTTCATTTATCTTCTGTTTTTTTGGTAAGTGTTAAAATGTCTCGCAACAAGTTATCCCCAAGCAGGGATGTGGCGAAGAAAAAAAAGTGGGGGGGTGCATTGAAAATTTTTGGAAACTGACAAAGATTTCTGGATAGATTTTTCAAAAGTGGGGGGGTGCAAACCTATCTTTTTGAATTTGATGACTTTTTTTTGAAGAAAAATTGACTATTTTTGCTGCGAAAAATTGAAAATTTTCAAAAAGTGGGGGGGTGCGCACCCCCCTGCACCCCGTGGTCGCCACATCCCTGTCCCCAAGAGATTATACAACATAGATGAACAAAAAAAAAAAAAAAGATCTATGTCGATGTGTTATACATGTAATTTTGTCGACAATGAACATCTTCATTTCATTCATACTAAATGATGTTGAATGATTAACGAGTCATAATAGAAAAACAAAATTGATTAATTTGAAATTCAGTCATTTTTTTTTTCGATTGGTTAAAAAAAATACGTTTTGTTTGTTTCTTATTGGTTAGAATAAAAAAAAGAAAAGTTAATTTTCATCTTGTAAATGGCAGCTATAAACAAAATGAACAAAAAACAAGAAGAAAGAAAGAAAGAAAGAATCGTGATTTGGAAGATGTATGGAAAAAAGTCGTTAGTTAATCTATAAAACAAGTAACAGCAAAATTTTGTCTGTACTTAATTCTCATGAGAGCATAAGAAGAAGAAGAAGAAAAAAGAAAAAGACGAACGGACTCTTTTTTTTTTCTCGTTATCGTTTGAATTTTTTTTCTTTTAAAGCATCATTGATGCATATCGATTCGGTACAATAGTTGTTGTCGTCTCTTTTAATCAAGTTTCTCTCTTTTTTTTTCCTCTATTCTTCGAATAACTCGAGACGAGTCATTGGCTTTTCTCGTCATTTTGGCATGATGTTCGCTTGAAGAAATATTCAATCTATCATATCATATATAGAGACAGCAGTAACGCTCTATTGAAGTCTTTTTTTTTTTGCTTCTGTCTATCTTTCTCTTCCCTTCATTGACTTTTGGAGACTGTCTCTCATTTGTGCACAAGAGGCTTGTTCCTGTGCGAAACCATGTTTCCGTTCAACCAGTTCGTTGCAGCTCAATACCGATATTCCAAATTCGGTAGGTGCTCTGTATATTTTTCCCCTATCGATTCTTGCCTCCCTCCTTTTTTTTTTTATCCCTTTGTGCTCCAATGAATCGCGAGAGTTTATATTATCTATTAGTAAACTCATCATTGGCATAATCAATATATTTATATCTTTTATAGGACATGGAGGTATTAATCAACTCGGTGGAGTTTTTGTTAATGGTCGACCATTACCAGATCTTGTTCGTCAATCCATTGTTGATTTAGCTAAACAAGGTGTACGACCATGTGATATAAGTCGACAATTACGAGTATCACATGGATGTGTTAGTAAAATTCTTGGAAGGTAATAACAAAATAAACAAACAGAGAAACAATTCAATTATTGTCTTTGCCTTTAGATATCATGAAACAGGTTCAATTCGTCCCGGTATTATAGGTGGAAGTAAACCAAAAGTTGCTACACCAAAAGTTGTTGATGCTATAAGTAATTATAAAAGTCAAGCACCAACAATGTTTGCATGGGAAATTCGTGAACGTCTTATTGCTGATGGAATATGTGATTCAGATAAAGTACCAAGTGTTAGTTCAATTAATAGGTAAGAGAATATAAAATTTCTATTGTATATTATATGAATAAAAAGACTTAATGTATTTTGTAAACTAATGATTCGAAACGACATTGATTTGCCGACACATATTCATTTGTTACTCATTTTTTCTTCTTTGATTGTCTCTATTCAAGAATTGTTCGTAATCGTGGAAATTTAAATGATAATTCAAAATCAAATAATCATAATAATAATAATAATTCATCACCAACAACATCAAATGAAACAACAACAACACCATCAGCTGTTATAAGTGGTACAACAAGTAATGAAGAGGATAGTCGAAGTCATCCAACAGGTGTATCATCATCACCTAATGGTTATAGTATTCATAGTTTACTTAATCATTCACAATATAATTTACATTCAAATGAGTATTCAATAAAACGTTCTCATCATCATCACCATCATCATCATCATGGATCTCGTATAAATCATCATATCGGTAAGAAATTATTAATTGAACTGTCATAGAGTACAACTAGACAAAGACCAAATCGATAGTATAATCTCATAGGAATTTATATAAATTTTTTTTTATAGAAATGCTTGATTATAAACATTTTTCGGCTGAACAAATAAATTTTTTGGATAAATTTTTTAAAGATAATCCATGGGCTGATAATGCACAAATTGAATCAATTGCTAAAGCAACTGGTTTTGCAGAATCAACCATTAAAGTAATCAAAACAAAAAAAAAAAATTAAAAAAAATATTTTTTATTTAATTTGAAAGATTTATATTGATCAACGTCGTGCTAAATGGAATTCAATGTATACATCAAATAATTATCTTAATTATAATACAAATGATTTTTCAAATGATTTATCAACACAATCATCATTTCATAATGTTAATCAACATTTTATTGGAAATAATAATAATACAATGAAAAATGATTTTGATATACCGTCAACACGTTTGTTATATATATATTTTTTTCAATTTATCTTATTTAAATTATATTTAGAATCGAATGAACTTTTTTGTACGTCATCAACATCTTATCCAACATCAACAACAAATTTTTCAATACCAGCACATGGATCAGGTAAAATAATACAAAAAAAACAAAGACGACTATAACGTCGTATGAATAATAGAATATGATATCTTCCGATGTTTTACGTTGAGTATATAGTATCATGCATTCCTATTTGATCATGATAATACAAGCTTCATATGTGTAGATTTAGGAATGCATATATGATTAAATACAGAGAGTTTTGCTTTCGAAGCTAAGCAAAAAAACGAAATTTTTATTCTTAGATTATTATTCTTCAAATCCATATTCAACTGATTGGCGTTATTCATCATTTTCAAATTTTAGTAAATAATTCTATTGTGTAAGTATTTAATGAGAAATCTTTATATTTAAATTTTCTATTCATATTTATTAAATAGATCGTGATATTCATCCATATTATCCTTATTATGTATGCGATTCATCGCTCAAATCCGAACCTATTCCAGAAAAAAAAAACCACCTATCATTTTGTTGTCTATTTTCATGTCTAAAATTACTTCGTATTAATAAATGTGCATTCTTTGTTCATAAAAATTCTTGTTTGATTTTCCATTTTTCTCTCTTTGAATTTGATCGCATGCAAAAAAAAAAATACAAAATACAAACGCACGCACAAAAGAAAAGAATCTTAAAATCCAACAACATCATCGTCATCATCACTATTATTTGTTGTTTTTTTAACGGGTTGTTTGGTAACAATTGGACTTGTTCTTGATGGTGGTCGAGTATTATCTGGTGACATATGACGAGGTGATTGATGATCACTAATTGATGGTGATCCAGGACGATGAGTTTTGGAAGACGAAGATGGGCGTCGCTAAATATTTTTAATAAAATTAATTAATTAAGAAATTTAGAAAAAAAAAACTCTTTACTAAATTGGCAGGTGAATCTCGATCACTTGTTGAAAATCGATTGAAAGAACCAAGTTTATCTAGATAAAAGACAAAAGAAAAAAAAAAGAAATTAAATTTAAACGATGTTTCAATACACACTTCGATCATTAGGTACGGTGTGTTTCGAACCATCAACCAACGATGATGAAGGTCGATGACTGGCAGGTGGAGGTGAAGGGGATCGATCCTAGAGAATAAAGTTAAGGAGAAAGTAAGCGGGGATAATGAAACACTATTTCTACACTTACTGTTTTAGAAACTGAACTTCGAGCACTTAAAGATGATCGATGATCAGATTGAATTTTATCTAAAACAAACAAGACACTCAATTTTGTATTCATAATGAAAATTATAAAAATCTTTTTACCATTAGGTGATGTTTGTTTTGTACTTGATTTTGATTGATCATAAGGTGTATCTCGTTTTTTTTCACTAATATTTATTTCAATAATTGATTATCTATCATGTTAATATTATTTTTTACCTTCCAAACAATGCTCGAGTTGGTTTCGATGATCTTACACTAGGATAATCATCATCTTCACTTTCAGTATGTTCAGATTTTCCGATTGGAGCTGGTGAACGTTGTTTAGGTGTAGGAGACGATATGCCGCTTCGAGTTTTGTCAATTTCTGATCGATTTAAATAGCCTCGCAATGCTGCTTGTACATTTTTTAAGGCAGTCTGTACAATAGAAAAAAAAAATGTTTTCTTATAATTGTAATATTAAGAATTCTTACTTCATTAGGAGTAGCACTAGCTGATGATGGTCGACTCCTAATAGAATCCCTATCGACATTATCAACTTTAAAATTTGAACGTGGTGATTGTGTTTCTGATGATTTCTAAAGATACAAAAAAAAAATAGCAAAAGTTTTATCAATAAATCTGTAACGTGACGCATTCGAAAGGTATCATTTTCAAGATATGAATGATTTTTATCTGACAAGAATGCAATCATATGTATTCATAAATCGTAAATACAAAATATGTGCACTCATGTGATTCAAACTGAGTAAAAAAAAACCGCCGGTATACTGAAAATTAGCCGGTGGTAGTGTGATATTTAAACAATTGGCTATCTTCTAACTGTCAATATACCGTCGGTACTTATAGGTAATTGAATTCAACAAATCGTTTTTCTATGTGAATAAAATGCTGAATAATTTATACTAAGAATGATTCGATTCTAAAAATAATTTACCTTCGAGGCGCTGATTTTGGAATCCCACTAAATAATAAAAATATTATAATAGATAATGTAAATACAAAAATGATGATATATTACTTTATCTAAATTTTCATGTCTTGCTTTATTTATATCACGCAATGGTTCTTTACGTGATTTATCATGATGACGCCATCCTCGTTGAATGACAGTAGCTGCACGTTTTTCTCGAAAATTTTTTACACGATTATCATCAGCACTTGATAAAAGTAAATTTCATACGATTATTTTATTAGTAGACAAATAATTAAGAATTTCATCTTACGCAGTCCAATCCTTATCATGTACATTTTTAGCTGATGATTTTACTGGTGTTGTTGGTCTTTTTACATTTAATGATGTATTTGATGTACTAGTTGATAATGTACGAGATCCTATTGGTTCCATGGGCTTTCGAACTGGTGTACTGGGTCTAAAAAATCAGTATAAGATTTTAGAAGTTTACGCTTATGTTAAACACTGATTAGAGCCTGGATTTTATCGAGTTCAAGTTCGAAGACTGTCGGCCTCAGATCACTCATCAAGAACACTGGATTAGACTAGCCTACTGTCTAGAGCTACATGTAGTATTTATTGTTCCTTGTCTTTGTAGCCTTCAAGAAAAATAGATTCATTTAAGTTGAACTGTTAATATTACTCTAGTAATCCTAAAACCTGTCTATGAACCAAGTTTCAAGTAAAAAACTCAATAAAAGACTTATATAACAGTCAATCGGTGTACGACAATTCGAAGGGTTGGATCCTTTGTTTTGAACTTACCTTGAATCACTTTTTGTATGTTCTTCAGATGAAGCTGAATCTCGATGAATCACATTAGGTGGTGATCGTGGTGTTCGATTTTCAACTATTGGTGATTGTGATCGCTTAGAACGTGTTGTTGATAAACTAATAGAATCTCGATGTTGTTGTTGTTCATCACGTTTTAATACTGGAGATGAACGTCCAATTTGATTCAAGTTTTTTTGTTTATCAAGGTCACGTCGCATATCTTCAAGTTTTTCGTTAGCTTGATCAAGTTCTTCACGATATCGATCACGTTCACGTCGAAGTTTGTCCAAACTAGCATTTATTTGTTCAAGTTTATTTTCAGAACTTTTACTTTTTTCTTTAAGATCTTCAATTGTTCTTAATAATTCTTTATTACTACTATCATCCTAAAAATAATGAAGTTTGAAAATATCTATAGGCTTTTTGCAAATATGAGAAAAAAAGATTAGAGCTTGAACAGTAAATAGAATCTATGAACTTTCTCATAGACATCTAAAATCACAATTCCTTCTTTTTCCCAATGTCACAATTAAGTTTGAAACACATCATATCTAAACATCATAATGATATTACTAAATTTTTGAAAACAGTTTCGATTAAAAAGTTTCCTTTTCGAAAAATTTCAACGAAAACGAATGCATACTGAGCGCTTAACAAAAAAAAAATTGTTGGGAATAAAGTAAAATTCATAGAAAAACATTTCCGATGGAAGAAGTATTTATACATCGTTATGCTAGTTAAGTAGACACACTATTTTCTAGAGATAAAAATACTCAGTGACTAAAAAATTTTTGAAATGTTTATGATTTTATAAATGAAATAACATACCACTGAACGTGTTGATAATGGTTTTCCACGTTCTAATTTTTCTAATTCTTCAACTTTCTTTTTTAAAATTTCATTTTCTGTTTTGTATTCATCTTTTTCTTTAGTTAATTTTCGTACAGCATTCTTTTTTTCTTCATCAACTGTAGCTACATAATCACTTAAGAGAAAGAAAAACGAAAATAAAATTATTGAAGAAATCAAATAAAATAGTTTTTTTTTATTACTTTTGTTGAAGATAATTTAATCTTTCTACTTTTTGTCTGTTAAGTTCACCAATTAAAGCTCGATTTTGTATTTCTAATTCTGTACCTTTTGTCCATCTTGGATCACTTTTTATTTCACTATATTCAAAAAAAAAAAAAACAAAGTTTATGTATGTTTTTCATCTATTTTATTTGAAACATACTCAATCGTTGCTACTTTTTGTTTAAGATCTGATTCTAATTTAAATATACGTTGTTTTAAACGTAGAATAGCATTCTGAAAAAAAAGTAAGATTTTCTTTTATTATTTATATTTATATAACATTTACCGCATTGGAAATATTGTTATTTCGATCTGTTAATGATCCTGATAATGTTCCTCGTAAATCACCATCCTGAAACATTATTCTTATGGAATAATAAATTTTAATATAAAACAATACCTTGTTTGTATCACATAAGGAATCGATTTCTTTTCGTTTACGTGCATTATCTTCATCTAAACGTCGAATTTTAGCACGAAGAACACTATTTTCACTTTTAACTGTTTTCATTTCCTTAATTGATAAAATAATAATGAATATATCAATAAAATATTAAAATTCGAATAAAACCTTTTTTAATAATTGTATTTCATCATAATAATCTTCTTGTGCTTTATATTTTGGATTTCCACTTGTTGGTCGATGTGCTATTTAAACAAAAAACAAAAAAAAATTTAATTCTAATTAATAATCTTTAAGAAAAACAAATATTCTTCTTACTATTAGATTTAAATGTTAATTCACTGGCAGTTTTTGTACGTGGTATATCTCTTTCAGAAATCATTTCATTTGATGCATATGGATTTTGTTGAAACATATCTCGTAAATAACCTGATGTACTTCGATAAGCAAGATCTGTATCATCAAATGAATTTAAATGTGTAAATGGTTTTCGTTTTCTATTCATATATGGTGTTAAACCTTAATTTAAATTATTTTTGTAAAAACCTTCTTGTTTTTCTCAAATTCTTTACATCTTACCTTGACCATGTGGTAATTGTTCAACATAAATTTCGCGTGCATTTCTTGTACGAATTCCTCCATTGACTTTTGACATGTTAACAAATTGAAAATATTTAATCGAACAATCACAAGTAGATATGTATTATAATTGGTACTATGGAAACAACATCCATGAAGAATGGTTGACGACAAGAAACGACCTCTATGGGTTTTAGTCTTTTTAATGCTGAACGATGGCGACAAACTTTAAAATCACAAAAAAACAAAGCAAAATACCTGTGTTTTTGAATTAAACAGAATGACACGCCTTTTTCATACCATTTTCCTTTCTATTTGTTTTTACCTCTTTGTTTTGTTTGTTTTATCAAGCATTTGTACATTTTATAACTGACTAAGGTTGGTTCTTTTGATCTTTTTTTTCATATAGAAAAACAAAAAAACTATGCTAACTTTAAAAAGCCGATTGTCATTTAATACAACTCGAATTATAGCTACGAATGCTTTGATAATAGGAAAAGAACAAAAACGACATTCATGTTTAACAATGCAAAATCTCAATCCACTTGTTAAATTAGTTGAATATGCTGTTCGAGGTAGAACAAAAATAAAAACTTGTTAATAAAAATTTTTGATTGCTTTTCATTTTACATATAAGGTCCAATTGTTATTCGTGCTGGAGAAATTGAAAGCCAATTAAAGGTAATTATTATTCTTTTGTTGTTTTCAATTACTACTGTTTTATCATTATATCAAATATGATTTACTTATTTTTTATCCAATTTTTTTTTCGTTTGCTGTATTTCTATAAGATCTCAAAAGTTTTTCCATTTTAAATGGTTGAATATAACATTCAATCGAACTTTATAGTATTAATTAAATTGATTTCGTGTGTGGGTCAAAGTTTCAATATATTTCGAAAACCCTTAGAAAAATTTTTTTGTACGCTGATATATCAATGAGACACTCCCATAAAAAAAAATCTAGCTTCAATAGTTTACATAAGATATTGATGAAACATTGCATAAAAGTTTGATGCATGAAAATACATTAATTAAAAAATTTCACGCCGACTTCCATTACCGTTCAGGAAGTTTCCACGAGGGTTTATGCATACAAATTTTTATCAATATATTCCAAACTAGAGAGTTCGAGTTGCTTTGATTTGAGAGAAAATTTGAAAATCTGGAATTTCTAGACATGGTTTTGTGGAAAACTCCGGATTTATCTAGCATTTACAATTAATCGGAAAATTTATTTCCTTCATCTGAAGAACTATGCATATATATTATTTATTTATTAAAAAAAAAACACAGCTCTCCGGAATGGAGGGTAATGATAAAAAAAATTTGTTCGCAGTTGGATCATTATCGAAAAAAAAATCGATTTTGAGAAGAACGCAAAAAAGGTTTTTTTATTAGTCTTTCTATAATTACTTAAAACGAAGCTGACATGTAAATATATTACATGTCAATCAAAGTATTTGTCTAGAATGTGGGTGTGGGATAAGAGAAGCTCCACATCAATATTCTAATGTTATTGTCGATCTCAAAAATCTATCTTTAAGATAGGCAAGATTTGATTATCTCTGAAAAATATTTGCTTGTTTTATAGAACTAACTGTATAAAAAGATTTTTACTGATTCCTCTAGACATCATTATTTGTCCAAATAGTTTCAAAGGTCATTCACTAAAACTTTAAAAACCTTGGAGAATCAAGACAAGTTTTTCTCTCAACATTTACTTTTTTGATGAAAACCGAGTTTTCTTAAAAGACCATTACTAAAGAGAACATCTAATTTTACTGTTGAAATTTTACGCGACTTTAATATTATCGAACAAAAAATACTGAAAAATCGTACAAAACTGATTCTTAGACATTCACTAAATTTTCAATTAAGATACGAAAAAAAATCTAATAAAAAACTTCTGAAGCTTTGCAAAAATACGGTAGACTAAAAACAAATTACTCAAATTAGATGAATTATGCTGTAGAACCATTTTTTAGCACAGAAAAAAAGTGTTTTCAAGCAAAAATAAAAGTTTTTTTTCATCCCAGCTCATAATGGAGTGTTTTTTTTTATCAAAAATCATATTTATTTTATATATACGTATGTCGTTGTCTTTTCTCTAATATTGACTTTGAAAAAGGCATTGGTTGTAAAGATATCTTATCCGATGAGAGAAAAAAGGCACATTTATTGGCAGAAGAGACAAAAAGCAAAGTCTAGTAAATAACTATTATGTGTTCTCATATATATATATATTTATTATTCATATCTAAATATCATTGGTGTCGAAAGCATGTGTGATAAGGTTTCTTTTCTTCTTTTCGTTCTTCTCTAAAACAAACTACAGGATGCAACTATAGTGAAGAAAATGAGGTTAACAAAAAAAATGATAGAATATAAATATAAATCGTTCGTTGTCCTTGTTTTCTTTCTTTCTTTCATTTCGACAAGAGTTAGATATAGACTAACAGGTTCAGAATCGTTGTTTTTCAATCAAAATGGATAACTCGAATGAAAATAATAAAACACTCACAATGGCAAATATAAATCCTCGTATTATTGAAGTTGAGTATGCTGTTCGAGGTCCTATTGTTATTCGTGCTGCTGAAATTGAAAAACAAATAAAAGAAGTACTGATATGATTTATATTAAAAAACATGTTTTTTTTTTTTCAATCTTATTTTTCTTTTTGTTGTTAGGGTGCTCATAAATTTCCATTTGATCGTGTTATTCGAGCTAATATTGGTGATTGTCATGCTAGTGGTAATCAAGTACCTGTTACATATATTCGTCAAGTTTGTATTTATAATATTAGTTTTTTGTTTAATGATGACAAAAAAAAATGAATGAAATTTTTTTAAATTAGTTTCTTGCTGGTTGTACATATCCACCATTGATGGATTCACCAGATTTTCCATCGGATATTAAACAAAAAGTTCAACGTATATTATCTGTATGTGGTGGAAAAAGTCTTGGAGCATATACGGAAAGTCAAGGTATAATAACAATACGAGAAGATATTGCAAAATATATACAAGAACGAGATGGTTATCCATGTAATTCAAGTGATATATATCTTTGTAATGGAGCTTCCGATGGAATTAAAACAGTAATTAAACTTCTTATGAATAATGATCCAAAAAAACCATCAGGAATTGTAAGTTAAAAACAAATGTTTTATATATAATATATATATATAAGGCTATAATTAATTACGATTGAAGAGATCATCGTTCATATTAATATCGCTAAAATAATGATGTAAAGATTTTTTTTTTCTTCTGTACTTATAAATTTGTTTTAAAAAACAAATATTACATGCAAATTGAAGGCACCCAAAAAAGTTCTTCTTCTAGACTGCTTGTATTGATAAGACATTGTGGGGTTTCATTTTTCAAATTAACAATAGAAAAAAAATTCTATTACTTTGTCAAACAAAAATAATTAATCGATATTCTAAACAAATTATCAAGTTCATACAATTTCTTTCTACACATTCACATCTTAAAATAATCGAAAATTAACATATTTTAAATTAATTTGATGTTCAAGCATTCGCACTAATAAATTAAAGCTTTTCTATCGAGATTTGATTCTCTACATGAAAGATTTTCTGACAAAATCTTGTCAATATTTTCTTGTCATTCTAAATTAATAAAGCATAGTATTTTATTATTTATGACAAGAAATATAATTGATTGAAAAAAAAAACTAAATTATGTTATATTTATCTTAGATGATACCTGTTCCACAATATCCATTATATAGTGCTACATTATCTGAATATGGTGCTTATCAAATTGAATATTATCTTGATGAAGATAATAATTGGGCATTGAATATAGATGAATTAGAACGAGCAATTAAAGAATCCAAAGATCATTGTGTACCACGTGGTATTGTTATAATTAATCCTGGAAATCCTACAGGTAAAAGATATTTTCAAATACGAATGAGATTGATTCATTACTTTTGAGTCATCACTATGTGCATCATTTAGATTCTATTGAAATATGAACATTCTGAAAAGTTCTTGAGTTTTTAGCTGCTTATGACGAAGATATCGCATCTTTTAACTGAATATTATGGATTCGTCTGAGTAAAAGTCAATTTCGAATTATGATTTGAAAATAATTTATTATGAATGTGTGCGATCCTTTTATATGATTTTATTCTAAAATAAGAATATTGGACTCTATCCAAGAACAACAAAAAGATCTGAAACTTTCAAAATAAACTATTTTTATTAAAAATTGTGTCGATGCAAATTTTTTTCCGATATTCCTGAGGGAAATCATAATTTTCAATTAAAAACTATTCTAAAACTAAAAACGCAAGCTCTTTTTCAGGATGTGCATACCTCATTAGAATTTACAGGATGCACACATTTCCGATTCAAAAGCAATTAATCAATTAGAAAAATTTTTTTTCCTTGTAAGGTTTTTCTTCTCTATTTTGATATTTTATTTTCTTTAATTAGGTCAAGTTCTTTCACGTGATAACATTGAAAATGTAATCCGTTTTGGTAAAAAGAAAAAAAGGACTAAATAATCTATTTAATTTAATGTTTTTTTTTTTTTGCATAATTATTTAGCTGAAAAACATCGATTATTTATATTGGCTGATGAAGTCTATCAAGAAAATGTTTATTTACCAGGTTCAAAATTGTTTTCATTTAAAAAAGTTTTAATGGATCTTGGTGCACCATACAATCGTATGGAAATAGGTATTTCTATTTCTATTTTAAAATTTCTTTTCTATTAATGACTTTTTTTTGGTATTTAGCTTCATTTCATTCAGCATCAAAAGGTTGGCATGGCGAGTAAGTCGAATTTTAATTTCTTTAAAGAAAATATTTTGTTTTTGTTTCTCAGATGTGGTTCTCGTGGTGGTTATTATGAATTAGTTAATATTGATAAGGATGTACGACTGCAAGTCAATAAATTAATATCTGCATCATTATGTTCAGGAGCTTGGGGACAAGCTATGATGGATGCAATAATAAATCCACCAAAAGAAGGTGAACCATCATATGAATTATATAAAAAAGAACGTTTAGATATTGTTAATCGATTAAAACAAAAAGCTGAACTTGTTAGTCAATTATTTAATTCTGTTGAAGGTGTACGATGTAATGCTGTTATGGGGTTAGTTAATAAAAATAAGTTTTTTTTTTTTTTTTTGGTTTTTAATTTTAAGGAATAATTTATGTTTTTTCTTGTAGTGCTATGTATGCATTTCCACGTGTTGAAATACCGGAAAAAGCAATTCAACATGCAAAATCAAAAAATATGGCACCTGATGCATTTTATTGTTTTCAATTACTTGAAAAAACTGGTATATGTGTTGTACCTGGTAGTGGTTTTAAACAAAAACTAGGTACACATCATTTCCGTACAACAATTTTACCACCAGTTGACCAAATGAAAGATATGGTAGAAAAATTCCGAACATTTCATATGGAATTTTTACGTGAATGGAAATAGATTTTAGTGTTTTTCTTTTTTTATAATAAAATTAGTTGATGAAAATGAACCTGTATTACTAGAATACTAAGATTATTAATAAAAAATCATATTATATAGTGAGAATTGTATGCTATCAATTTTGAATAATATGGATGATTAAATGTCTAATTAGATAATAGTATTGTTTGAGATTTAGTAAGACAATTCAATAGGTCGAAAAACTTTCAAAAAATGGTTATCTATTAGTAGAAGTGTATGTTGATATGAAACAAATGACTATGATGAATTATGAAACGTGAGATCCCAGAAACATAAATACTTCCGGCTTTTTTCTTGAATAACAACATCGTTCAAAGTACTACGTGATGAAAATCATAGAAAGTGTTTAGAAAATAAAATAACGTGCCAAATTAAAAAAAATCATATTGTTTATGAAAGATCTAAGCGCTCAAACTATGCTTTCATGCATTTATCTTCATCACAATTGATCTAACGGAAATGGTTTTTTTTTT